TGGTTCATGGGGTTTCCACACCATGGGTTCAGTCCTAATTGTTTTTGGGGCACTGACCACTAGAGATGGAGCCAGTCCACCTAGCAAGATTTTCATCTACCCATGGGTGCAGGAAGTGGCAATTCTGGTAAGATTGTGGTTAGGTAGAACATTGGAGATGCCAGGCAATTGAGATGGAAATTAAGATATTAAAAGATACAGGATATCATAGATATTATTGAGCCAAGTTGAGGTCTGGACTGTGTGCAGATGGAAGGAGTATGAAGGTATGGACTTTATAGTCCATGCCGGTATGTTTTTTATATCAAATACTTCAGTCTCTAACTAGACTGTGCAACGCAAGTGGTCTACCAGTGTTTGTGAAAGACCAAAAGCAAGTCCATATTGACATTGTCTGCATATATATATACAGTATGAATACAACCTGTGGTGCAGGAGAAAGACATTCCCACCAGTTCATAGTTACCCGTAGCAACTAAACACTTCCCACCAAGTTCTCTGTTGAGTTAACCCTTGGTAATGCCCTCATGTTCCTCAGGTGCCCACACAGTCCCACAGTGTATGGGCTTACAGACCTTGTTCCCGATACACCATGTGCCATCAGGCACCCCTTTGCAGTAGCTTTAGGCCAGGCCTTAACAGTTAATGAAACTTTACTGGACACATTAAATATCACAGTCCAACAGTGCAGTAACAGTTCTTTCCTAAACCCTGAGGTGAAAGTCCATATTGTGGTAGAGTCCTGGCTCGGGCAACCTGCCTTAAATGGTATTTCCGCTAGTGGTCACATCTTCAAGCTTTGCCTTTCCCTTTTTATATCAACACAGGGTGGAGGGCAGAGCCCAGAAATGCCTGGGAAACTGCAGAGACCGGCTCTCCCGTGGGCATCCCTTGAAAATGAATCTACTCAACCCCAAAACTTGTAAGCATCTGCTCACGGGTAGATCACTTGTAATGGGACAATCCAGTTGTAGGCTAAAGCATATGATATGACAGCACAACTGTCATGGACTAAAAATTCCCGACATACTTTCCTACTCCCTCCATCATCACACAGTCCAAACCCTACCTTAGCTCAATAATATCTGATATCCTATATTTCTTAGTTTGTTCTTCAATTACCTGGAATCTCCAATATTCTACATAATCATGAGTTGCCCAGAACTTCCATGAGTTCATCGGCAGAAGAAAAATCTTGGTAGGTGTATTGGTGTGCAACATTCAGACCAAATAATATCTTGCTAGGTGGACTGGCGTGTAACATTGTAACTAGAGGTTCCCTATTATATACATATGAATCCACTCTTCAATTCTATACATCAAGCCAATTCTTCATGGGATAACATGCAATGTGAGATAGACGTATAATATCTGTGAAAGTCCTGTGAATCTACTGCACCAGAGGTTGTATATACATCCCTTAGGTGCACCTGTGCCCAAACTATGAATTAGAGTTTTCACATATCTTTAACAAGCGGTAAAAGAGTCCTAAAACAAGCCATCCCTGACCTCTCTAGCTGCATATACAATGGAGAAATGTATCCTAAAAAATGACACAATTGTAGGGTTGAGTTGGTTGCCAACAGCTAAAAACACTAGCTGTGTGTTTACATTAGAGGGCTGGTACGCTGAATAGATGCTGGTGCAATAGAAAATATTAAGGAAGATGAAATTAGAGTTGAATTTCTCCACAATTACTATAGCTACAGAGGTGAATGAGGGCTATGTTTAAAGTGCTGTTAATCCTTGTTGAGAATAAATAGATATTTTAGTATAGGCACAGCGCAGGGGCGGACTGACCATTTGGAAACTCGGGCACTGCCCGAGGGCCCGGGGTCAGTAGGGGGCCCCATGAGATCCCCCTAATACCTTTTTCATAGGCTTTTTTGAGTTTGGGCAAGGACACAGGGGCCCCATGATCTCCTATTTGCCCAGGGGCCCCATGAGTTGTCAGTCCGCCCCTGGGCACAGGTCCACCAGGTCCACTTTAAGGGCAACTCTATCCCTTAACTCACCCAATCTAAGTTAACCTACACTTACCCCCCCTCCTTCTGCAGCTGCTTACTTACCTTAGTTCCAGAGCCATGGCTTTTCTTGTTCTTTCCAGCCCATCAGACCAAAACCTGTTTATTGCTGACCCAATTGGCCCCATAGGTTTTAATGGGTCATATATCAAGATGCACACATTTTTTGGTGGATGGGCAATGTAGGAAGCCCCACTCTAGAACTAAGATAGGCAAGCAGCTGCAGAGGAGGGATTGATGTGGGTATAAGTGCCCTGTAGGCAAGGGGTTAAAGTAAATGTAAACCCTATGTAAATGGCATTGAATTTTTCAGGGTGGGTTTCCCGATGGTGACAACGGCAAAATGTCTACTTGTAGTATCCAAAGAAAGCTCATACAACAGGGTGAGAACATAGAAACACTACTGGAAGCGTCTCCATGCAGGATCACCAGGTATTATTTTAGTAAACATTGCAGATGTAAAAAGTAATTGAAACCTTTTCTTTTGTCATTATATTAACATGTTAAAGCCTATGTGAGATTTATAACATTGCATGCTGGAGTGAGAGCAGGGGCAGACTATCCATTCAGGAACTCGGGCATTGCCCGAGGGCCCAGGGTCAGTAGAGGGCCCCATGAGATGCCCCTGGTACCTTTCATAGGCTTTTTTGGGTGTGATTTGAGTGTGGGGGCGAGGACACAGGGGCCCCATAATCCCCTATTGCCCGGGCGCCCCATGAGTTGTTAGTCCGCCCCTGGGCACAGGTCCACCAGGTCCACTTAAGGGCAAACTCTGCTACCTCTACTGAGAGCAGTAATTAAGAAATGATATCAGAGCGTAGAGTCACCTTTCACAGGTAACTTTAAACTGATGACCTGAAAGGGCTTTTAAAGTGTTTCCTATGAAAAATATAGGGTACTGATGTTTGTCATTTTGTAGGCGTGCACAAATTTAAAGTGTTACTAAACCCACAACAGTAAGATCAGTCTGTATATGCAGTAAACCATGCTTGTTTATACTCACTGTAGAACTTAAGGGGTTATTCGTCTGCATTGTATAACAACAATTGATCCTGACTTCTCTGATCCTCCCTTTCTTCCCGTGTCCCCCTCTTATCTCCTGATAAGATACATTGTGTGGAGTCACTCTGCACATGCTCAGTTTGGTGTGTATTGCTAGAGATATTTTTTTTTCTTGGGAGAGTGCATGTGATCAGCACAGGGCCAATCAGCACTGTCCAGACAGAAGTCAGGGGTCCTGCATCTTCCTAGAGCAGAATGAAAACTCCTACAAGCTTTAACCAGTGCTCAGCTGGTCACTGATAGAAGTCACAAGACTGCTCTAACTGCTATTGAGAAAAGGTATTTAGCAGTTTCTATTTACTAAAATAATTGCATTTCCATTTTCTGTGTAGTGTGGGAGACCAGAGATAGTGAATGCAGGGTCCGGGGAGACTGGATATTGTGAATGCAGGGTCCTGAGAGACCAGATATAGTGAATGCGGGGTCCGGAGAGAGCAGATATAGTGAATGCAGGGTCCTGGGAGGCCAGGTATAGTGAATGCGGAATCCTGGGAGACCAGATATAGTGAATGCAGGGTCCTGGGAGACCAGATATAGTGAATGCAGGGTCCTGGGAGACCAGATATAGTGATTTTCAGGGTCCGGGGAGACCAGATATAGTGAATGCGGGGTCCTGGGAAACCAGATATAGTGAATGCGGGATCCTGGGAGACCAGATATAGTGAATGCAGGGTCTGGGGAGACCAGATATAGTGAATGCAGGGTCCTAGGAGATCAGATATAGTGAATGCAGGGTCCGGGGAAACCAGATATAGTGAATGCGGGATCCTGGGAGACCAGATATAGTGAATGCAGGGTCCTGGGAGATCAGATATAGCGAATGCAGGGTCTGGGGAGACCAGATATAGTGAATGCAGGGTCCGGGGAGATCAGATATAGTGAATGCAGGGTCCTAGGAGATCAGATATAGTGAATGAAGGGTCCTGGGAGATCAGATATAGTGAATGAAGGGTCCTGGGTTTAGGAACACTTTAAAGCTTGACATGTTGGGTATCTACTTACTCTGCACAACCTCATCTTTTTTATTTTACAAAACAAAGGGTATTATGTTAGATAATATATTAACTCAAATGCCTTCTTTACTGAAATTTTGCACTTGATAAACTGTACAAAATATCATGTGACATGAAAAATGGAACTACCACTATTTTATTCTCCATGGTCTCTGCTTATAGAATATATATACTGTTTGATGGGTTTTAACTAATCTTAAGGCCTAAAAATTATTTTTAAATGTGTGTAAAAAACACACTAAAACAGCTCTGGAAACAAAAGGGTGATGGAAAATATTTAAATAAAAAATGTTGTGTGCCTAGAATTCAGCTTTAATATCTTTTTGATCTTTTAAGGTGGTTGATAGTCCTCCTCATTACTATGTTTGTTTTTTTTTATAGAAAAATCTGAGCTATATTTAGTTTAAGGTTCTTACTATCAATGAGATTTAAATGTTTTTACCGTTTTTAGCTCTCCAGTGGCGTGACCTACATGTTTGCAAGATTGCTTATTAGATATAACACTTTTATGACTTCCAGTGCACATATGGTCTTATAGTGTACAATAAACCAGCAGTAAAGGAGGTAACGGGTTTATTGGGAATGATGAAGGAATAATATTCATTTTTATGGCCGCTTTTAAACATGCCTCTTGCAGATAGTAAGGTAGTACTCTGGTAATTGAACCTCGCCTCCTTCAGCTAAAAATAATGGAGGGGTGTAAAGGGTAATTATAGTCTTTGTTTTATATAAATACACGCTCTTGTGATTAATATAATAAAAAAACATCTAATGAATATGTGCTTATGTTTAAATAGATTTTGTTTCAGTATATAAATTGTGAATATATAAGTGCATTTTATTACACATGCAGTCATAAAGTGTTACTAAACCCAGGATCCTGCATTCACTATATCTGGTCTCCCAGGACCCTGCATTCACTATATCTGGTCTCCCAGGACCCTGCATTCACTATATCTGGTCTCCCAGGACACTGCATTCACTAAATCCGGTCTCCCAGGACCCTGCATTCACTATATCTGGTCTCCCAGGATCCTGCATTCACTATATCTGGTCTCCACAGGACCCTGCATTCACTATATCTGATCTCCCAGGACCCTGCATTCACTATATCTGGTCTCCCGAGGACCCCGCATTCACTATATCTGGTCTCCCAGGACCCCGCATTCACTATATCTGGTCTCCCAGGACCCCGCATTCACTATATCTGGTCTCCCAGGACCCCGCATTCACTATATCTGGTCTCCCAGGACCACGCATTCACTATATCTGGTCTCCCAGGACCCTGCATTCACTATATCCGGTCTCCCAGGACCCTGCATTCACTATATCTGATCTCCCAGGACCCTGCATTCACTATATCTAGTCTCCCAGGACCCCGCATTCATTATATCTGGTCTCCCAGGACCCCGCATTCACTATATCTGGTCTCCCAGGACCCCGCATTCACTATATCTGGTCTCCCAGGACCCTGCATTCACTATATCTGGTCTCCCAGGACCCTGCATTCACTATATCTGGTCTCCCAGGATCCTGCATTCACTATATCTGGTCTCCAAGGACTTCGCATTCACTATATCTGGTCTCCCGGACCTTTCATTTACTATATCTGATTTTTCAGGCCCTGCATTCACTATATCCAGTCTCCCAGGACCCCACATTCACTATATCTGGGCCCTGCTCCCAGGATCCTGCATTCACTATATCTGGTCTCCCAGGACCCTGCATTCACTATATCTGGTCTCCCCAGACCCTGCATTCACTATATCTGGTCTCCCAGGACCCTGCATTCACTATATCTGATCTCCCAGGACCCTGCATTCACTATATCTGATCTCCCAGGACCCTGCATTCACTATATCTGGTCTCCACAGACCCTGCATTCACTATATCTGGTCTCCACAGACCCTGCATTCTCTATATCTGGTCTCCCGAGGACCCTGCATTCACTATATCTGATCTCCCAGGACCCCGCATTCACTATATCTGGTCTCCCAGGACCCCCGCTTTCACTATATCCCCGCAGGATGGATTGGATCTGTGGATTGGGGAGCATAATGGATCGGACTCCGATCCATTATGCTCAATCGGCAGATCCGATCCATCCTGCGGGGATCGTTGGAGGGGTGACACCAACCCTTTGGGATGCCCCTGCACCTCAGTAGCTCTGATTTCACTTGCTGCATGCTTTTTAGATCGTAAATCTACCATAGAATGTATTAGGTCTGTTCACACGGGTGTAGGTATGTATTAGGGCTGTTCAAGTGATTGGGGCTGTGCTGCAACTGCAGCATGGTGGGTCAGCATTTTGGGGGTTAAAACAGGCAGCAAGGAGGCGGCTTATCACCTCCTCTCCACTTGTCAAATGCCCTCTGAAAAGTGATTCTCCATGGATCACTTTACAGAGGGGCAGCAATAACAGCCACACATACTGTATGAAGAAGGTAGGATACGGGTGCAGATGATCATATCTCTCCATAATTGCCTCTACTTTTACAATTTATAACATTTGTATTGTGTTTTTTTAATGGTATTTTTGTTGATATTCTGTCTCTATGATTGAAAATACACCTATGATAAAAAAATATAGACCCTTCATTTCTTTGTAAGTGGGTAAAATTACCAAATCTGCAGGGGATCAAATCATTATTTAACCCACTGTATATTATTTTATTGTGTTTACTACATCATTCATATGTAGATCACAGGCGTGACCTTTGATATATGTATGACATATGTATTTCTATGTACCCCTATTCTAACCAGCCCTAACTTACTCATTCCTTCCCTTTTTCCCTTTCTGATAATTTTTCTATTTTTTTTACCATCAATATTTTACATTTTTATTTTAATTTTCAATTTGTTTTATTTATTTTTTCTGTGTGAAGTGAAAAGAAAATGCTCGAAACTGAAAAAAAAAATGCCATTATTTATTTGCAAATAACCTGACCACATTTTGTACCAGAAGCATCTTTTTATTATTACTTAATACCATTTTTTGGCTAAAACTTGTTAAAATACAAAAAAAACATTTTTTTTTTTTCCATTTTTTAAATTCTTTATGTCTATAGTTTTCTTTGAAAAAAAAATGCCTTGGCAAGACAATGCTGCCAAAACAAAGCTTTTTTTGTCCTTTTCAAAAATGAAAGTATTATGTTGTTATCTTAAAGTGGTTGCAAACCTCAGACATGAAATATGAACAAAGCGTATCTCTCTATATTGTGTACTTGTCTCAATTAAGAACACTAAGTGTCCTTTCTGTCTGGCGCCTCATTTCTCTGCTATCAGCATGAATCACTGACAAGTTTTCTTAACACAAAGAGTAAAAAGGTGACAGGGGAGGGACCTGCAGCACACAGCTTGTGATTGACAGCCTCAGCTCTGTTCCTCTGTGCTGAGTGAAAGGGGGTGTGTCCCTTCCCTCCAATCAACTCTCAGGGAGCTCTCTTCAATTAGTTCTGTAAAGTGTAATTTCAGCTCCCTGCCCCCTGTTTTCTGAAATGTCAGACAAGCTGTATAAATTATGCACTTCGAATAGCTGTAAAGGAAAGAGGGCTGCAGATAAACAGGTACAACTTATGTAGGGGGATTTGTTTAATCTCTGTGTATCGCCTGAGGCCAGTCATTTCACTAGGTATATGTAAGGGTATACAACAACTTTATGTAATGATACATTTAATTGCTTAATAAACAGGTTGAAATTCCCATAGTAAAAATGTATAAATTGCTGTGGTGGGGTGTACAGGTATGAGAATTGAATTGGTTAAAATGTTTGTAAATCCATTTTTTTTAAATGAAAGAAATGTTCGGAACTCCTATCAGGTTTTCATTGCTGTCTGTATTGCCGCTGTCTATGTTGCCACCCCGTCTATTGGTCCAACTGACCATTGTCTTCCAATTGTCAATTGTCTTCTGCTTTGCCCCAGGACAGGAAGTGACATAAAAATCATAAAAAAAAATTCAAGGGGTCTTATGCATTCCCTACTCTATCCAAAACTAAAAAAAAGTATTGTCTTTACATACTTTTTAAATCGATCTGTTGTTGGCACTCACCAGATCGGCAGAACTCATCGACCTCTGGGTGGACCATATCCTTTACACGATTGCTGTAGGATAGTCTGGAGTCTTGATCGTAGGCTTTTAAAGTCTCGCTGGAGCTGTAAGATTTTTGTGGTACCTTGTTATCATCACTTTCGGCCGAGGAACTCGTGTATCGGCGCTCAGTATCGCGCCTCCTGGTTAGGGATCGGTACGGTTTCCTCTCTTTCACATCCATGGCACGGTCCTGCTCCTCAACATTGAACAGAATTGGTCCTTTACTTTTGAAGAGAGGAATCAGTGATGTTTCTGAAAGTACAAAAAAATTTTTTTTAATTGTTTAAAAAATGAACTCCAGGTGAATATACTGTATAAGGATTCATATTTGTATGTTTTTATTGTAGCTAATTTGAATACCCGAAATCTATCATTACATGAAGCTGCCTGAAATGTTCATGAAAAATGAAATGGGTTTAGTAGTATGCACTCTGCAAAGATGAAGAACAGGAGGAGTAGGTACACAGGCTAAGCGTAAAGCTGCTTTTAGCACCAACCCTTCTCTCCCCCTCCGGCCAAGTTGTTCAACTATCGCATTACAGTACTTCAATGGTGGCCTTGAACTTGATTTGAGCTGAATGGTGGGAAAGTAAATAAAATAGAAAAGGTTAGGCACCAACAGGTCTCACAGAAGAGGTACATAGCACAGGAAAGGTTAGGCACCAATAGGTCCCACAGGGGAGGTACATGGCACAGGAAAGTGTAGGCACCAATAGGTCCCACAGGGGAGGGACATTGCACAGGAAAGGGTAGCCACCAACAGGACCCACAGGGGAGATACATGGCACAGGAAAGGGTAGCCACCAATAGGTCCCACGGGGGAGGTACATGGCATAGGAAAGGGTAGGCACCAATAGGTTCCACAGGGGAGGTACAAAGCACAGGAAAGGGTAGGCACCAATAGTTCCCACAGGGGAGATACATGGCACAGGAAAAGGTAGGCACCAATAGGTCCCACAGGAGAGATACATGGCACAGGAAAGGGTAGCCACCAACAGGTCCCACAGGGGACATACATGGCACAGGAAAGGGTAGCCACCAATAGGTCCCACGGAGGAGGTACATGGCATAGGAAAGGGTAGGCACCAATAGGTCCCACAGGGAGGTACATGGCACAGGAAAGGGTAGGCACCAATAGGTTCCACAGGGGAGGTACAAAGCACAGGAAAGGGTAGGCACCAATAGTTCCCACAGGGGAGATACATGGGACAGGAAAAGGTAGGCACCAATAGGTCCCACAGGAGAGGTACATGGCACAAGAAAGGGTAGGCACCAATAGTTCCTACCGGGGAGGAACATGGCACAGGAAAGGGTAGGCACCAATAGGTCCCACGGGGGAGGTACATGGCACAAGAAAGCATAGGCACCAATAGGTCCCACAGGAGAGGTACATGGCACAAGAAAGGGTAGGCACCAATAGGTCCCACAGGGGAGGTACATGGCACAGGAAAGAGTAGACAACCATTCATCCACCGATCTATGGATTTCATAAAAAAAACAAAACAATTTTTGCAAGACAAAATCACCAAAAGAAAGTACTATTTTGTTGTCTTGAGTAATACCAACGTTATTGCCAGATTAACAGGCCCATAATGAAAATTGATTTTGCACAAATGGGTATACAGGTGTGATAGCTGAACTGGTTAAAGACCGGATCTAGTGATATAATCCATTAGCTGCTCTTACACATTGTGTAACTATTCAATTTAGCTTTCCTTATCAAACCATCTATGTGACATTTTTACCAGCAGCTTCCAAATTCCTGGAACATGTGCATCTTACATGCTAAGCATATGCCTGTAATGTGATTAGGTTTCCACACATAATCCAATACACTCCAGTAACATATGTGCTTCTCTGTACTGCTGTAAGGCCATTAATATTAATTATAGGCAGATTGACATGCAGATGTGTTGAATAACCCCACAATTTCATTAGGATTCAAAGCAATTAAGCCCAGCAAAACTGTCATACCGCAAGTGGCAAAAAGGAGAGTTACACTACATCATTCAAACATTTTCCCCCCTTTCAACCCCCTGCAATCCTTTCCTGCATATAATATCACTTGTCATACCCTCCACACTGCTGTCCTAGACTTTATGTCCCCTTGTGATACCCTCCACACTCCTGTCTTGCACACATTGCTTGCTTTCATACTCTCCATACTTCTCTCCTGTTCATATTGCCCCATTATATCCTCCACACTTCTCTCCAGCAAAGACTACCTGTTATCTTATGTGCAGTTCTCCTTCACATGTTGCCCATTGTTCTGCCTCCTGCCTCCTTTCCTGCACATATTGCCTACTGTCCTACCATCTGCACCATTCTTCTTCACATACTGCCCCCATCAAACCCTCTGCGCTGCTTCTCTGCACATACTGCCCATGATCATACCCTCCACACCTCTTTCCTGTACATACTGCCCCCATCATACCCTCCACACTCCTCTCCTGTACATACTGCCCCCATCATACCCTCCACACATCCTCTCCTGTACATACTGCCCACCATCATACCCTCCACACCTCTCTCCTGTACATACTGCCCACAATCATACCCTCCACACCTCTCTCCTGTACATACTGCCCCCATAATACCCTCCACACTCCTCCTGTACATACTGCCCACCATCATACCCTCCACACTCCTCTCCTGTACATACTGCCCCCATCATACCCTCCACACTCCTCTCCTGTACATACTGCCCCCATCATACCCTCCACACTCCTCTCCTGTACATACTGCCCCACAATCATACCCTCCACACCTCTCTCCTGTACATACTGCCCCCATAATACCCTCCACACTCCTCTCCTGTACATACTGCCCCCATCATACCCTCCACACTCCTCTCCTGTACATACTGCCCCC